AGGCTCCAAGTCCTGAATTTAGGGTTTTCCACGCACAGACCAGACTCGCCGAGTCACCTTGGCCGACTCGCCGAGTCGGTCACTTACTACTCAACCCGGATCCCGCTCTGACTCGCCGAGTCCCTCCTTGGACTCGCCGAGTCTACCCCTAAACTTAGGGTTTTCTTTCCTTTCTTGGTCTTCAAAACTTTGGGTGTTACACCAAGCCTTATATATATATATATATATATATATATATATATATATATATATATATATATATATATATATATATATATATATATATATATATATATATATTGAGAGAGAGAGAGAGAGAGAGAAGAGGGTTTTATGGAAAGTAAATGATTAGGGCAATACATGCTAGAACCAATGAAATCATAACAACACATCACTTTATAGTAAACTATATAAATAACTTCTACAATACATTAGTTATGGATAAATAAATGGACACATGTCACTTGATCATTGGTTTTAGGATATATTTCGCTAGTTATGCATTTTCTATTGAACCTATTTGTGTGTGTGTGTGTGTTTGTATATATATATATATATATATATATATATATATATATATATATATATATATATAGAGAGAGAGAGAGAGAGAGAGAGAAAGAGAGAGAGCTGGGTTCAAATGTTTTCAGCAATTATTGTGTGCATGAATGCACCAATAGGAATTTAGGAAAAAATAAATCATTAATAATAAATATAAGGGTATAATAGTAATCTATACTATAATTAATTATGGTAAATTGATAAAATTAAATAATATCCCCTTTTTAAATTAGGATATCAGTTTCAAAACCTCACCCCCACCAGATTAGGGTTTTACGCTCCCTCTTCATCTCATACAGAACAAGCTCTTCACGCCACCCTCTTTACCACCGCAAACCCATTTTTTCTAACCAGAACAATGATGATCGCCGGCGACATCTTCCCTTATGGTCATCGTTGTCACTTCCGTCATTCTCTCACTGATGAAGAGATGCTTCTGGGTCTGAATCCACGCTGATTAATTGAGGAGTGAGTTTATGTAAATCAAATTAAAGGTCTGTCTTCTTTGATCTATAAATTCCATGATATGGTCTACATTGAATTACTTATGTTCATCAAACCCCCACACCACACCACATAATATGGTTTAGAACCGTTGTGGTTCGTATACTGATTTCCAAAAAACCTTTAACCGTATATATTACAAATGATCTTGAAAAAAGTAACAATTATCTACAACTATTTTGTTTTGCGTTCTCTAGATTTGATCATTGTAGGATTCATAATAAATATGGAAGTTGAAAGCAATGTTTTGATGGCCGAAGATCGAAATTTAATGAGGATTTTTGGTAGTTGCATATTAGATGCTTAATTCCCTATTAGAGTTAAGTTAAGGTTTAGATTTAAAAGTATCTTCGGCCTAAAACATAAATACACATAGCTAATTAAAAATCTACATGCATTAAGCTAAATTTAATTACTTATATTCATCAGATCACAAAAACTACCCACACCGTGTAACATGGGTTAGAACTTTATCGATGAGTTTTTTGGTTTTTGGCAGTCTTGAGCTGTTCAGCATCTTCCCTAGCCAGATACCTTCTCGTCATTTATCAACACCTGTGTAGATTGTATGAGATAAACTTGATGATTGGATGGATTGTGCAAGCTTTCTTCTACAGAATGTTGCCTTGAGAAGTAAGCTTTTCTAATGTTCGACTCGGTTTGGGCTCTTGACTTTTCTGTGACTGGTCCCACGTTTTGATTTGGCCATTTCCAAGTATGTCAGACTTCCTTTGGGATAAAGCTCTGAAACTCACTTCTTCTTCTGATGAAAACAGATAAAAAGTAATATGTTAATTATCATTTACCTACATCTACTTGACAGAATAACTGTAGCCAGGCTTCTTAATGAGTGGGGTTTTGATCTAAATCTAATCCAATATATTTATTTGATTCAACATTTAAAAAAATCGCGACCAACAAACAGGGGCCAAGCCAGGATTTTGGAATAATAGGGACTCACATTGTAATAACATAAATATATTTCAAATCTAGATAACATAATAGTGTGTAAATTGGAAAGAGAATTTGTTAAAGAAAAATTCGTATAAATAGAAGTTACATTGATCTTTTTAAGAATCGATCTTGAAAAGTTGTTAAATGACCACAACATAGAGGGGTCTGTTGGGTGGACCCATTCAAAACTTAAGATTTATAACTCTTTTTTTTTATAAAAATATTCTCGTATATTAAAGGTCAAGAAAAGCAAATATAAACAGGTTGATTTGGGTTATGATCCAGCTATTTAAGATAAATAAGTCATGATCCATCAATTTAAAGAAGTTGGGTCAAGATAGTTAATGGGTCATATCATTATGTACCTACTTCTAGCATATTACATATAAAAAATGGCGGTGTAGGAGTTTGTTGTTTTAACAGATTATGAAAGTTGTTAAGTAAGGAGACAAGTCTTTCTCCTTCACAAAGTCCAAGTATAATATTAGTGGTTGGTTGTGTGATCTCCACTATGTTATTGGCACACAAATGCATGATAAAGACCAATACTGTGATGCATAAGACACACCAATATAATCTTTGATGAAAATGAGATTTACCTTTATAGCTAGCATCCTCTCCAACGAATTGACGATATAAAGAAGAAACAACAAGATCAGGTGACATAAATCGCATGTTGTTTAATATGTATTCTCCTGTTGTTGTTTGAAATCCAATGAGATCTCCACCAATTATATGATTCCATGACTTATAATAACTCAACACATCTTCTTCTTCTTCTTCATTTGTGTCTCCATCACTAAATACAAAACTAACCCCACACTCCTTTGTAACTTGATTAGCAATACAATAATGTTTCTGGCTCACGGTAATAGTAACATGATCACCACCTTCCATCTCATTCATCCCAAACATCCAATGGCTTAAAAATATCACACAATCTCCACTTACATCCACTTTGTAAACATAATTAGTGTATATCCAGGTGAGATTCTTTGTTATATTCCTAATTATGATGATTGGAAAATAAAACGAGTTGTCTTCTCGAAATTGCAACGTACAATCATTGAAGAAATTCAATCCTCTGAATCTGTCCGGAGATGATGGGATGGAAAATGATATTGATGGACCCATGCTTCGATCTGTAATCCAATTTGGCATCTCTTGGCCTCCATAAATTGTGCTGAATATTCCAAATTCATAATACATCTGCCAAATACAACCACCTTTATTAATTATGTATACATACATATTCATACAAAAACATATATTTAACTAGACCAAACCTGGATTTCAGATTCCTCTGATCCCAAGAGCCTTTTGCTAAGTAAGTCTAGCTTATTCCAACCCAAACTACGCATGACATTTTCCTCAACACCTGCCATTGGTTGGATTTTGACCATGCCTTCAAATTCAAACGACGAAGGTGCATTTATCTTCCAATCTATGGAGAAATGGATTGGGGACATTTCTGGATCAAATGAAACTTTAAGTGGCAAAGGGTTGTTAGAATCAAAATAAAGGTCCAAATATGTTAGTGTATGTGGAGGGTGCTCGACTGATGTTAGCTTTTTACAGTCTCTCATACTAAGTATCTTAAGCCTAGGAAGGCTTCTCACACATTTGGGCAGGGAAACGATAGGATTGTCATCTAAACATAATTCCTTCAACATGGATAGGCAACTGAAGTCCATAGGAAAGGATTCGGTGGACAAGTTATTATTCTCAAATGACAACTTTACTAAAGACTTTGGTAAAGAAAGCGAAAAGAGCTTCGAATCACTTGGTATGGCCTTTATAATGGCTGATGAAGAGGTTTTTGTGTTTATGCCATTGTTGTTTGCTTTGAGCAAGGCTGATGAATTCATACCCCTAGTCTTTATTCGAGATTCACCAAGATGACAACCGTTTAGCAATAGTGTTTTAACTTTCTTTAACATGCCTAAGCTTCTTGGTAGTTTTTCAAGCTTGATGCAATAGCTTAAATCAACGAAGACAAGTTCAAAACATTGGTCAATTGATTCACAAACCTCAAGCAAACCAATGCAGTTTCTAACTATTAATCTCTCAAGTGCAGGGAGTTCATCGAAGCCACCCACACTACAAAGTTGTTCACAGAAACTTAAATTAAGAATCTTCAATGACCCAAGCAACCTTTTATATTTTGAGCATGATCCAATCAACTAATCAAACGGAGATAAGTTAGAATAGTAGTGAATTTCATCAACTTAACATAGAAGAATAACAAATGGAAATAAGCTACCTTTTGCCTCTTATGAAGTCGTTGTGGATTATTATAATAAATGCCAAATGATTCAATATTGCTATATGACATGTCAAGAGCAACCAGGTTCTCCACTGGTAAGTCTGAAGGTATGGACTTTAAAGGGAACCCATGCATACAAAGCCATCTTAATTCTTCTGGAAAGTTCTCGTAAGACCCATTAATCTGCACATAATTGAGTTGCAGTAGCATCAGACTATCCATGTCACTCAATGCATCCGTTTTCAGCTCAAATGATGCACACAACTTCTCTTTCTCAAGCCTTTGCATGTCTAGGGCAAGGCCTAGAAGATTTCTTGTACTCTAAAAAGAAACCAAATTCCAAAAAAAGTTAAAATAATTAAATAGAGATAAGACAAAATACTTTAACGTGCATAGTACTACCGGATAGATGCAAGACCTACTAATGCACTATCATCTAATTTGTGTATTACAAACATCCTACTCCCATTTCATTGTATTACAACATTGTACTTTCAAAAAAATTCTCGTTATGACATTTTACTTTGAAGAGTCTACCCAAGTATAGCATCACACTCTCAATTCCTTTCTTATTAGTAATTTGGATATTATACTTCAAAAAATCTACCCAAATATAGCAATGAAAATTGCTTCATATTAGGATGACATTGTTATAATTGAGTATATTTTTCAAAGTACAATGTTGTAATTGGAAGAAATGAAAAAAGAATTTTGTCATAAACAAACCAACGGAAGTACAATGCTATTTCTTGCATTTAATACTACTACTAACAAGTATACATGGCTACTTACCTTTTTTTCTTCCAACACTTTGAATATGTCCTCATGACACCATAATCGACTTCGCTTCCATGGCTTCTCTGGTGATTCTTCACATACTATGAATCTTCCTATATCTTGAACCAACTGATGCATCATCAACTCGTTATCCCATCCAATACTAAGAAGGCATCTGTCGATTAGATTCGTGAAACCGGTTCTTGTTTCCAAACCACATGCCTGTAATATTGTTTCAGTAACATCTCTATCCACTCCAACAAAAAAACAGGCAATATGCTTAAACATATCCTTGTTATGTTTGGATGGCAAAGAGTCAAAGCTCATTCTCAAGACATTATTTATAGGGGAATCATTTTCTTTCTTTAGCCTGTCTATGTACCATTCCCAATAAGGTACATCTCGATTGTGTAGAGACCTACCCAAAACTTTAAGAGCCATTGGATGTCCTTCACAATAGTTCACAAGGTTTTCTGACACCTCTTCATAACCTTCCTTGGGATTGTTCGACATGAATGCATGAAAACACAAAAGTTTTTGGGATTCAATCTTATATAAGCCTTTAAGCACGTGCTTTGTATGCTTGGGTTTAACGTTCGTTTTGAATAATGCACAACTCTCTGTCAACCATGTATCCTTTGTTGTTATTATAACTTTGCTTCCTGGATGAAAGCCTTTACTACCAAGTAATGCATCCAACTGGTCTAGACTATCAATATCATCAAGAACTAGAAACACCTTTTTACGAGCTACTAAATTCTCTATCTTTGAGGTGTAAATGGATACATCATGAAATTTCATCGAACTTGTTTTTGAAATGTCATCACAAAGTTGTTTTTGTAAATCAAGCAACCCACTAAATTTTCCACGACATCTCCTACCAATATCTTCAATATAGCTGCTTGTATGGAATTCATGACAATGTAACCCATATATATACTTGGCTAAAGATGTCTTCCCAATACCACCAATACCTAAAATAGTGAGTATGTTTGTTGTATGTGAGGATGCATCCTTCAACCATGAAGTGACAAATTCAATGGAATAAACCATCCCCATAAGTTGTGGGAGAGGACTCCTTGAGGATATGCGTAACCTTCGGTGGATGTCCTTAACAATTTCGTCAATAAACTCCATCTCATGCCTGATTGATTTGAATAAGAATAACAAATTAAATACAATCTAGAAAAACTAACATAGCAAATTAGATATTAAATTTATCCCCAAATCCAAACCAAATTACATCAAATTATATCATATTGAGCTATTCTACTTAATTTGCTAGGCCATAATTTTTATCTATAATAAGACCATAACCACCAATGTAATACAAGATTTCATTAATGGGCCACCAAATTTCATATGTTTCCGTAAGACCATCAAACTTAAATATCAACGTCGTGTGGTTTTGAACGAATCTAAACAAAATGTCACATAACAACTATAGGTTAAACATTACTACTTACAAGCCAGAGAAATTATGTAGCATAACAAAATATGATATGATTTGAAGGAAGAATGATATAAAAATGTGTAGTCGCATTGTAAGGGACTAACTGTTTTCGTTTTTACAGATGGCATATAAAATTCATTAAAATGGTATAATCCAGATGAAGTATTTTTATTATAAAATAATATGTGTGCATAGCAAATATGTCAAAAATTGCAGGATGGTTAACCTACCAATATGAAGAACATCATGAGATCAAATAATTGCAAAACCTAGATTCAGTCGCAAGCATTTCTTTATCCACTTTAGATACATCAAAAAATATGCCTATTTGGTGATTATGAAGAAACTCATTAAAACTCATAAGGAGAACATGATTTTGACTTTTCATGCACTAATTAATAAAGAACTGAAGGAGTGTAGAAATATGGATAACAGGATAAGATAGTACTTACCTTCCATTTATATCCTTCCCTTTTAAACCAGCAACTTCTACAAGCGCTCTATTCCATTTTTCCATCTTTTGAGCCAATTTACTTCTTTTATTTGCATCTGTCTCTGCCTCCATCCTCTGTCTATGTTTAGCCATTGCATCTCCAAAGCTACTTTTTTGCTTCCTGGCATGGGTGGGCTCCACATGATAAAAGACGGGGACTACAACATGATTGGATTTCATTCGTTGCTCAAGGATCAACACCAATTCATCAAGGCACCTGGTGGAAGTAGCATAACTTTTAGACAACATGATAATAGAAGCCCTAGATACTTTAATAGCACTCTCCAATTCCGGTTTCAGATCTTCCCCTATTTCAATCTCTTCATCATCCAAGAAGGTAGTGATTTTGGCATCCATGAGTGCCTTATAAAGGTAAGTGGTAAAATGACGATTATCAACACCTCTGAAACTTAAAAATACGTCATATCTATGACCTTTATGAGTTGATGAAGAAGATGAAGATCCTTCTGAATGTTCTGAGAGAACAACCATTATGAGTTATGAGACAATGATCTCCTTATATATTGGTGGTGTATTAATTCCAATAAGCTCTGAAACTCAGTTTTCTCTGGACATCATTGATTATGAATGTTGGTTTCACAATTTATCCCTTTTGTGTCTCTTAATTAGATAGAAAATAATGTGTTCTGAAGCTTTTAAATCCCTCCCTTTCCGCACTTGTGCCTCAAACTCAAGATCCCATACATAATGTCTGTACATAAAATCCATATTATTAACACCATACACAACTTAACTCTCTTTAAACAGTATAACCTCAACAATAATACAAAAACATGTGAATTAGAATGCTTCAAAAACAGACGACATATATGCAGATAATTATTGATATAGAATCACCATAACAACTACAAGATCAACTGTTACATCTCATGAAAGGGAACTCCAAACATATACTAGATGTGAATAAACAATAAAAAGATCCAAACAAAAGACTGAATTAATGAATTGGAAACTATAAAGAAATAGAGGAAGTATATTTCATAATTGAAATATAAAACTAAACACACGTAATTCAAATAATCGATATTTCAATCTGGTAATAATAGATTTTTTCTAAAAAAAACCCTGATGATTATAATGTGATTTATGATTGATGATGAAATTGGTCAACAATCAGTCAAACTAGCTAGAAAGAATGTGCTTTCATATTTATCTGAGGAAAAAAAAGAGACCTGAAGTGAAGAGGAAAGAGGAAGAACCAACGGCGACTAAAAGAGGAGAAAGATGAGCGAAAACAACAGAACGAACGACGATCACTGTAAATCTTCAGTGAAACTGCCAGTCAACGATTGAGTGAGACGACGACCCGAGTCACGAAGAGAGAGGAGAGAGGGTCGAGTCTTTTTTTTTTTTTAATCAACCCATTATAAATTTTTTAATAAGTTACAAACTTGGTCCTTATGCTTTATTTAAAATCCCAGGTTTTTATCCAAGTTTCAATTTTGTTTAATAACCTCAAAACATGCTCTTAGTCCCATATTCCATAGTGGATAGTCTCCTTATTGTGCCCTTGGACAGAACCTAAAAAAATATAAATCAAATCTACTCCACTTTTGGATAAGAGGACACCAACCTTTAATTCGATGATAATTTCGTCCAATACCGAGTAGGTTTTTAGCCAAGTGACCCATATTATCCACAATTTCAATCCCATGAATCCTATATAATCGATCTTGTTCATGATTAGTTTCAACAAAAGAAATTATCACCGATGACATCTTTGAATATCAGTAAAATCTTGATCTGTTTTTCTCCTAGATGAAGAAATACTGAGGGGGACATAATAAAGGTGGTCATGAGAGTGGACCAAGCAGGGACAGCTATTATGTTCCATTGTAGATTTGAAACTAGAATGTAATCGAAAATTGCCAATAAAGTATTAAAAATTTGAAGACCCTATATTTTAGAGCAGGGAAATGGGAAGAATGGTGGCGATGAGGCATTTTTATCGAATATGGGGATCGGAGACACTTATAATACTAACTAGCTAATAAAAATACAAAATGAATCAAATAAAGCACACTATACTTATTTTACTAAGCAAAAGCGTTAGAAAAAATCAAAATAATGATAACACTGAAAATTAATTTTTTTAAGGACTAAAACCGAACAATCAACTAAAATCAAGGACAAAAAGTAATTTATTATATTTTTATGTAAGTGCAAATTGTGTAACAAAGACTAATTTTCGTGGAGTAAATTACAAAAAAATTACCTATTGTATAATCAAAATTAAAACTTCGGTCGAAGTTTTGATTCCATCTTTGATGGTTTTAATTTGTCGTATATACCACCCCTATCGCTAAAGTCGGCAAAGAAAATACATTTGCCTTTACCATCTTATCCTTTTTTTTTTTTTTTTTTTTTTTTTTTTTTTTTTTTTTTTTTTAAATTATTACTATTAGTCGAATATACATGCATTTCCGTGGAGTAAAATTATAGAGTTAAAATTTGATAAATACATATCGAAAACAATTATGTTATTGATATTAAATAATAGCTTCTTACACTAAATTGTTATATAAATTTGTAATGATTTTGAATCATATTAGAACATCTATTAAAAACATATGGTTTAATGACCACTGCATGCAGCTGACGTGTGAATGAAACTAAATATAATTTTCGACTTAAAGGGTGTTTGAATAGGAAAAAAAATAAGGTGTTTCTTACTTATTGTTTATTCCCATCATAATAAGCTAACTTTAAGTGTTTAGATATAAATTCTAAAAAATCAGTTTATTGTGGTAGGAATAAGCTAAATAAGCTGATTTTAATAAGCACCTCTTGCTTATTGCTTATTATTGTTTATTCCACCTGAAACACTTTTGTAAAAACTGTTTATTCCTACCGCAATAAGGTAGTAAGCAATAAGGTAATAAACTATAATCTAATTTATCCAAATTTTTTTTTAACTATATGCTTAATTAGTTTAGAAATTATGTATTTGACATTTCTTTATAAGGTAACATAATGTAATTCATAAGGCTATGAAATTTTTAACTATTGTTATTGTAATTAATTTAAAAACTATTTATTTGGAAAAATTACAATTATTACAGAAAAATTGTTTTAGAAATTTATAGTTAATTTGACATGTTGATTTAGTTTTACATTTAAACATTTTCAATTATTTTCAAAAATAGTCTAAATTTTTTAAAGTTGATTTGATAGTTTGATTTATATTTTCGATTTAACAGAATATCTAAATTAACATTTTAAAAATATTATAATAATTAATAAAAAAAATCTACTATTAATATGATAATATTTCATATTTTAACATATTAAAATTAATAAAATAAATATATTAGTATCGAGAATTGTGGAAATCCCTCTTACATAGGGATGTGTATATTGATCGGTGTGTCTATATATATATATATATATATATATATATATATATATATATATATATATATATATATATATATATATATATATATATATATATATATAGTTAATTTACAATTGGGTTCCTATACTACACAATCATAAATAAACATCCCCAACTAGAATATATATTTAAGACACCCCCTTAGTTTGAACATGGGGTTTTGAATGTTAAATTATCTTCGAAATCTGGAAACAACTTTGTAGGAAGACCCTTTGTAAATATATGTGCATACTGATACGCTTACGGGACATGCAAAACACACATATGACCAATCGCAACACTTTCCCTAACAAAATGTAATCAATTTCCACATGCTTGGCTATTTAATGCTGAACTGGGTTAGAGGCTAAGTACATAGCATTGACATTGTTACAAAAGACAATTGTAGCACGAGACAATAGACAATAAAGTTTGAGAAGGGGATTACATAGCCAAGTAGTGTCAGCAACTATATTACCTACCCCCCGGAACTTGGCTTCGACACTAGAACAAGAGACAACGTGATGCCGTTCCGTGAACCATGAAAGGAGATTGTCTCCAAGATAGACATAGAACCTAGATGTTGATCGAAGAGTATTAGTGACCCCAAAGAGGTAAAAGGAAGGGAAAAAAAATCAACCCCTCCTGCTAATGCTCCCGTTCTCACCATTGAAAAAGTTAAAAGGAAGAAAAGGAAGGCTACTCCTAAAGTTAACTGGAAGAACAAGGCTCGTGTAGGGTCATTAAGAAATGGGCCAAAGGCTAAGCCCAACTCAGAAATTCCAGCTGTTAGTGACCTTAAAGAGGTCATTTGTTACTATTGCGATGATAAGGGTCATTGGATGAGGAGTTGTCCCAAATACTTGGAAGACATCAAGGATGGCCAAGTGAAGCCATCATCGGCAGATACATAAACTATTCAAACTAATAACTCACTATCTACTCATTCTTGGGTCCTTGATACATGATGTTGATTTCACATTTGTTCTGATTTGTAGGGGCTAAAAGTAAGGGAGGAGGCGGAGCATAGAAGGATGAATCTGATCATGGGAAATAGGTGATCTTCTCATGTTACCAAGATTGGGGCTTATCAACTCGTGCTTAGTAGTGATGTAACGACCTCAAAAATCACGACTAAAAATTTCTTTTAAAACATTACTAAAACCATATTTATAAAACTGTATCATAAGTCATAACGTAATCTTTCGAGTATTAGTTCAAAACATAATCTCATTATCAGAGTAAAACATTCCCAGGCTAACTGACTATGGTGTGTGCACTGCAATCTTCCCGAGCTCCTCTTTTAAAAACTGAGTACCTGAAACCAAAACTGAAAACCGTAAGCACGAAGCTTAGTGAGCTCCCCCAACCTACCACATACCATACAATAACATGTAAACACATACTGGGCCTTGCCCACTGCATCGGACCCAAATCCGGAAACTGCATCGGGTCGAAGCCCGGACTAACTGGGACCATGTCCCCTGCATCGGACCGAAGTCCGGAAACTGCATCAGGCCGAAGTCCGGAAACTGCATCGGGCCGAAGCCCGGACTAACTGGGACCATGTCCCCTGCATCGGATCGAAGTCCGGAAACTGACTGGGACCTTGTCCCCTGCATCGGACCAAAGTCCGGACTAACTGGGGCCTTGACCCTTGCATCGGACCGAAATCCGGAAACTGACTGCATCAGACCGAAGTCCGGAACTGACTGCATCGGACCGAAGTCCGGAACTGACTGCATCGGACCGAAGTCCGGAACTAACTGCATCGGACCGAAGTCCGGAACTGACTGGGACCTTGTCCCCTGCATCGGACCGAAGTCCGGAACTAGCTGCATCGGACCGAAATCCGGAACTGTCTGAACATAGCATAACATATACACGTATCTGCTAACATAACACATATACTGCATACTGCATCGGGCCGTAGCCCGGAACACATAACACATAAATCCTGTCTGAGCCACGAAGGCATCAAACATACTAACTACTGCATCGGACCAAAATCCGGAAACTACTGCTAGCTAAACGGGCCGGCATTATGGCCTTAGACCCGTTCCTACTGGAAGGAAACTCACCTGAACTGCTGAGC